TTTTTTTTTTTTTTTCTGAGCTAAGAAAATGGATACAGCAAATGAAAAATTAAATAAATCCTCCAGCACCAGAAGCTGGTGGCAGATCAGGGCACGATCAGCAGTAGTCCCGTTGCTGATCCTCACGGGTAAATCTGAGCGAGGAGAGGGACGCCCCGGTGTCCCCCCCCCCACCTCACCCCTAAAAACAGGCCCAGCAGCAGCACCCGCTGCACCAGGGGGATAAACTTCCTCGGGAGCCCGGGATATCTCCCGCGGCCTAAAGCCTGGGTGTCCGGGGAGGCTCGGCCTCAYGCGGGTGTTCTCTCCGGTGCCGCTTCTCCGGCCGGCGAGAGGGGAGGTTCGGGGGAAATTCGGCAGCCCCCCGGCACCTCTCGGCCCCSGCTCCCCGCCGTCCCGTCGGGGCTCAGCCCGCCCCGGGCCCCGCTTCCCAGCTGCAACCTCCCGGGCATCCAGGGAGAAGCTGCCGGAGCAAAGGCGTCCCCGGCAGCCAAAGGTCTCCCGTGTCTCTCACTCGAGCCCCGCGGAGGGTGAGCCGGGGCCAGGGAGCGGCGCGGGGCGATCCCGGTCCCGCATTCTGCCGGCACCTGGAGGCGCCCAACTTCCCGGCGGGGACCGGCCCAACTTCGTACCCCCCTCCCTCTCTCCCTGCCTCCAGCCTCCCCCTCCGGCAGCCTCCGTGTCTCCCCCCGGAGCAGACTGTCCCCCCGCGCCCTCCCCGGGGCCGTCCCGCCGAGGCGGCGATGCCCGGCCGCGACACTCACTCTGCTGCCGTGCGGAGGGCAGGACGACGGTCCCCGGGAGAAGCGGGCGGCGGGGCCATTCCCTCCCCGGGGTGGGCGGAGGGGCGGGCAGGGCTGCCCCCGGCCGAGCAGCGGCCCCCGGAGCCCCCAGCCCCGGGCGCGGGCCGGCGGGAGCGGCGGAGGCGGCTCTGCCCCGGCTCCGTGCGTCTTCCCGGCTGCTGCCGGTGCCGGCTCTGGTCGCTGGCCGGGAGCTGCCG